AGAGAGCAGAGTGATGACCTCATTAGCAAGGAGTGTTCTTTTACCGTCAAAATAGCATGCAGTGGGAGGTTTGGTGGCCAAGATGTATTCATGAACATCAAGAAAAGTCACCTATCTAGCCATGCTGTCTAGTTAGGGTGGCTGGATCACAAGCCAAGCTACCGGCACAATGTATTAGCATCAATTACCCCATTCACAACATCTAGAATTCTTATATACCTGTGGGAAATGGAAGACGCCAGTTATCTGGGCAATAGGAATAGATAAAAAGGAATACTGGTCTCCTACAATCCCGACCATGGCTGAAGATGTGTGACAGTTATATCCCGGTATGGGGTTTCCAAGTCCTGACAGCAGGGACAGAACTCCTTCCACAACCACAGGCTCTGACATACAAGAATCCAATACAGTGAAGCCAAGAGTGATATTAGGCAGCAGGTCGGGAGAATTGTTAATTTCTTCCACTGTAAACATGAGGCCCAGAACATCCCGATAGTAACGCATGTGGAACCTGCAGGAGATGAGAGAAGGTCCAGAGGTCAGAGAATACATTGCATTATGTCAGCTGTACACACGGCCATTGTTCCTCTCCTCTCTGCACACATATGGATGAAGGATAGAAGACAGAGGAAGAGGAGAGGAGGAGGAGAGGAAGAGGAGAGGAGAGGAGGAGAGGAAAAGTAGAGGAAGAGGAGAGGAGGAGGAGAGGAAGAGGAGAGGAGAGGAGGAGAGGAAAAGTAGAGGAAGAGGAGAGGAGGAGGAGAGGAAGAGGAGAGGAGAGGAGGAGAGGAAAAGTAGAGGAAGAGGAGAGGAGGAGGAGAGGAGGAGTAGAAGAAGAGGAGAGGAAGAGGAGAGGAGGAGAGGAAGAGTAGAGGAAGAGGAGAGGAAGAGTAGAGGAAGAGGAGAGGAGGAGGAGAGGAAGAGTAGAGGAAGAGGAGAGGAAGAGTAGAGGAAGAGGAGAGGAAGAGTAGAGGAAGAGGAGAGGAAGAGTAGAGGAAGAGGAGAGGAAGAGGAGAGGAAGAGTAGAGGAGGAGAGGAAGAGGAGAGGAAGAGGGGAGGAGGAGAGGAAGAGGAGAGGAAGAGGAGAGGAGGACAGCATATAGAACACTCGGTCTCTATCTCTATATTGGGTTCTAATACTCACAATGCTGAAAGTAATACTCCGCCTAGATGACTAAGCCCATGTGTGGGTGGGGAGTTTGGCTTTCTTAGTTAGCAATAATATAACAATAATATAATATTGCAATAATGCCCCCCCCACCCCCTCCTCAGTGTCACTAATCTACTAACTGACATATCCGTCATATACTTCTTAAAACTCAATCTTGCAAAAACTGAGCTCATTATCAGAGTTATTCACAGAAGGGGGAAGAGTTTGGAGAAGGCCGGAGAAGTGAACGGTCTAGGATAACATCGCTGAACTGGAAAGTGAGCTGAGTTGGAGACTTTTTCCAAATCAACTATTTTGTCCTAAATTGTTCACTTCTCCAAACTCTTCACCCTTTTGTGAATAACCCCGTA